TTTTATATTTTTGGACAGAGGGATTATATTTAAACACTTAATTGTATAAACTCGTAAATATCAAAACCTAACGTTTTTTTATAACGAAAGCGAAGATAGACAACATTTATGATAGTGTTTTGGTTCACGACACGACAGTCACGAGTCATCATGAAGCTTAGTAAAAAAAAACTTATATCAGGCGCGACATAGTTGGACCCACCACGTCTCTTTAATAACTTAAGTTAAATAGGTGATTAAAATTAGTTTTTGATTTAGCTTACGTGATGCGATCATGATTATAAATTAGAATAAGAATGGTTCATGTGGAAGAAATATACAACGAAAACTATAAACATGGACATGTCAAATATGGGTTTAGTAAAGTTGAGTCGTTAACAAACAAGACTTGAACGATACAAAATTAACAAATTAGTACGTTTCGTCCTTATATCTTATTTAGAGTTTTATATTAGAAAGAGATTTTTTTTTGTTTTTGTTACCACTAAGTTTTATGTATTGACCTATAAATGATCAAATTATGTTACGAAAACTACAAAATGGATTTGTATTTGCGTGTATATAACTTGTTGTGATATTATCTAGACAAGCACATACAAAAATAGCTAGCTAAGTGAAGTTGTTGCAAGAAAAATGATTATTTTGTAGTCTTTGGTGAAATGTGAAATACTTAACGTAATACTTTAAAGTAAAGTGATTAGTTAATTGGTAATTTCAATGATAAACGTGAAGCGTGAGAGAGGAAGAGGTTTCTTGCTTGGTGGGTGAACTAAACCCCTTAACGAATTTGACTCTACACTCTAATCTCTCTCTCTTAAATATTGGGCCCAAAAGTCGAAGTCAAAATGGCCACCAAACTCACCAATGTCAAGTTTTGTCGGAGAAGTAAGTCTAACCGATTTCGTTCTCACTTAAAACAGTACACTCCTCTGTTTCAATCCGAAATCCTGTTAGGTTTTTGTTGACTTATGGTTAACTTTTGTTATTAATAATCAAACCAACGTAAAACCAAGTGACCTGCGTAGATCATAAAATTTTGGAAAAACTGTCTATTTTCCCACGAGAAATATGACATATGCATATATAGAATCCAAATTTTACTTTTCGTAAATATCTCCCTGAAATTTTTTTTATTATTAATATATCTTTCCAGATGAAAGTTAAATGTATATATCTCCACCAAATCAAAATTCGATCGGTTTCATTGCTAACCGAACACAAAATATAAAGTATTAAGTTTTTCAAATTATTCACTTAACCCAACAAAATTGTCATCGTCATCAACGAATTAGAGAATTTAGTAAAAAGCAGATATGTCATGTGACATATTTAAAATCTAACCGAACCACATAGATATACGTCTACATGTAAAATAGCCATCGTCATCAATGAAAAAGACGAACAAGAAATGAGAATTGGTTATATAATCGGCGGAAGTTATTCCAATATGATCATATTTAATCACTTATCATTTAACCCAAAAAAAAAAAAAAAAGTCCATCGACTCCACGAAAATTAATTTCTTAGAATTATTTTAGGACTAATCAACTTTGATTCTTTGAGTTATAATTATCGTTTACGTAACGGACTAACAAGTAGCGCCTGTAGCTCAGTGGATAGAGCGTCTGTTTCCTAAGCAGAAGGTCGTAGGTTCGACCCCTACCTGGCGCGATAACATTTTTCCTTTCAGAAATTTTTTGTTTTATATTCGTTAGTTTTGTGTGACTGGGAAATTATATGGGCCCAAGCCTAAGCCCATTAACTATAAACAAAAGAGCCTTTTTACCAACAAAAAATGAAAGACAGAATTTTGGAGTGACAATGGCACTGCTCGGCGACGACGGAAGAGGCTTCGATCTGGCGAGGAAACTGGAAGTTTCCGGCGTGTGGCGGACATGGCTCGGCGATTCAATTTACTCTTCATTTCACCATTATCTTTCTTCTCCTTCTTCATGGGAAGATTTTATGCGAGTTGACGAATCCAAGTCTAAGGCTCAGATTCAACTCCAGCTTCGCGTTCGTGCCCTTCTATTCGACAAAGCCACCGTCTCTCTCTTCCTCCGATCCAACACAACCGCCGCTTCATCATCGTCTTCTGTTTCCGCTTCCGATGTTACTTCCGTCGCTGTGTCGAAGCTCAATCCTAATTGTATGTGGGTTTCTTTTTCTGGAGCTTTTTTATCCATGGCGATTTTGGGTTTATGAAGTTATGGGTTTTTTTTTGTTGTTGTTCATTTTCAGATTTACAATTGCACGGAGATGATGTGTACTACACTTTGGAGAACGCTTCTCACGAAGGTGGGTTTCAACGAGACGGAGGGATTCGCCACAATCCGAGTCTACCCAAGGTGAGTCAGAGAGCTCCTGATTCACCTTTAGATAGATTTACGGGCATATTTGAATCTGAATCACTCTTAGTGAGTGGTTACTTCAGCATGTTGTTGTCTTTAGGGATCCTTTTTTGTGTTAATCTTTAGGTGTATCTGTTGATTATGTTCTGGTGATTTTTCAGAGCCTATCAAAGCCAAGTTTTACCTCTGGGGGGAGAGGTAGTGAGTCTGATTTCAGTAATCTTGCTCAAAGGTCTAGGTTTGAGGAGTTACCCGATACTTGGTACACTCAGTTTATCTCAAGGTATGGTTTTAAATATGGTATGCCGGTTGGAGGACAAGAATCTGACAAACGCACACCTGAAGGGATGTCTACTTACCTCAGAGTCGTGGATACTCATAAGAGAAAGCGTGCACCTTTTGTAGAAGATCGAAGTACGGGAACTTTAGCTAGTATGAGTAGATCTAATAGCTCTGGCTTCGATGGAAGTAGTTCAGAAGATGATATACTTCTTGTTCCCGAGACAATGTTTAGAATGAACAGTGTACCAGAGACTGCCCTTTCGCCGATTACCAGAACACAAGACAACTTGAAAACAGAGTTCTATGGGGTACTTGATACTTTACCGCAAGTTACTACCAGGAGTCATGTTATGATCGAGAGGCTTGGGATGATGCCTGAGTACCTAAGGATGGAAGACAGAGGAGGGTTGCGCCGTAAAAAGGCAGAAAAAATGGGTTTTAGTGATGATCAAGCGGCTCAGGTGTCACGAAAAGTTGTTGCACGCATGCTTCTGACACTGGGATTTGAAGGTGCAACGGAGGTTCCGATTGATGTCTTCTCTCAGTTGGTTAGCCGGCATATCTGTAAATTAGGCCGTATTTTGAAGCTTCTTACTGACAGTTACAAAAAGGAGTGTTCAGCGATGCAGTTGATTAAGATGTTCCTTAATACTACTGGATATAGGTGAGTGTCTTTAAAGTGGTTTTACCTCATTCAAATGATTTATGAAGATCGATTTTTTCTTAAGGAATTTTGGAATCTCTAGATGCTTCCTCTCATAGCTTTGTCATTATAGACATCTGTTAGTGATAAACTTCCAGTTTTAATTATGTTCATGTGATTAAATTTGATGCCTTTTTTTTCCAGTAATCTTGGGAGTTTAGCAGAGCTTGTTAAGGATGGTACTAGGAACCATCTTCCTCCAAATCAAAAACAACCACAAGTGCTTCAACAGCAGTTACATCTGCAGCAACAACAAGCTCCACTCCGGTTACCGCAGCAGGTATGTACATAATGCTTAACTCACAAATTGTTGCTCTTATCATTTGGTATCGTAATTGGCTTTAGTTTATTTCATGAAGGGGTCATTTAAATAGATAGTTATGTTTTTGGGTTTAACTTCTCTGAGTTCTTGATTTGATGTTATA